CTATAGCCCTTTTGAGAAGGATACTGGAAGGAAGATTAATTCAGAAACATAAACAAAGAAAATGATGCAGCCAAGGAAAAAGAAAATTCACAGCTTGTATTCCAATTTCCAGATCAGTTTCCATGTAAATAATAAAGAAAAGAAAATCAAGAACTGATGGAACTCCTTTCCACATCCCTTCACTAACGATACACCACCACATTCCTCCCCACAGCACAACTTCTACTCCTTGGATACACCACATCTTCCTCGAAGGAACAAGGCTTGTCCTCATCAATCCTCCCAATCTTCCCAATTCCCACACTGTAGCTCCGCATCCCCTGCATCCCAGCCCTCTCTCTCACATTCTTTTCTTGACGTTCTTTACACTCCATCGCTCTCTTTGATGCTGAACGCAAAAGCTCCGCTAATTCCTCTTCACTGTCGCTTGATCTTGAGGATTTGAAACTGAAACTCTTGGGCAACTGCGAGACATGGACGCCAGGGCCACCCATCACCCCACCGTTCCCAAGCCGACTCGCCCAATCATCCATTCCCTTCACGTAGAAGTCCCTGGCTTTGCTCAAAACTTTGATGGGTGCAAGTATGATCTTCATCAACTTACTCTTCTTGTTTCCTTTGCTCCTCATCTTCTTGGATCGAATAAGCAAACTTAAAACCAATTCACAATAGACAAGTCAACAATTTACTTCTAAATTCACTGATGGCAACAAACTTGATTAATATGAAATGTTTCCACGTAACAACCTCTGAGGAATAAGAAGAAGAAGAAGAAGAAGGCTGTTAGTTGAGACAGAGGGAAGAGTGCTGTGGGTATATATATAAGGTTGGATTATGATCTTGGAATTAGCTTCAAAAAGTCGTATTGTTTGTATGGGAACAGCATGGTCGTGTGGACTATTTCAAAGCAGAAAAATACGTGTGAAAGGCTGCGAAACAGGAAACGGACAGGGACTGCAAGCCAAAATTGAAAACAATTTTGAAAGGGATTACAGCTACCTTCCACTCTCCAAACTTTCCCCCAATTTGAATTTTTTTAGGGCTAGTTTGGTACTTTTTCATATCAATATTTATACTAACTAAATTGGGTAAGTTGTCCCGTTACCTATTTTCAAAAAAAAAATAATAATAATAAGGGTAAGTTGTCATTTTCAGCAAATATTTTCTCTCGAATCATAGGTAAACTTTTCTCACACTTCTCTAAAACAAAAAATTTCTCCTCTATTTTATTATTTTTTTAATGTGACAGGTACTTGATTTATTTTATTCAACTTGTTTAACATTAATTTCTTAATAAAAGCAAAAAAAAAAAAAGAGTTAATAATATTAATAAAATTTTAACAAAATTTTATAATAAAACATAAAATTTTTATACAATACTTTCCTATTATAAATTTTCTTAATAGAATTGTCCTTATACCGAATCAGTGATATTATAGCTATAATGTCACATTGAATTGTAAAATTACAATCTTATATTATATTTAATGAAATATGATGTGATATTAAAAGAGTAAATAACTACAATATCATAAGTGAACTCCTTAATAAAAAAATTAATTACATAATAATATATCATGTTATACATTTACAATAATACATGACATTATAACTATAACATTTTTTTTATGGAGTAACTATAGCATTTTTTATACCAAATAAGTCTAAGATTCTCTTGGCTGGTACTTTTATCAATTAGGGCAAAAAATCCGGCCAAAAGATTTGAATTATTTTGGGGTCAAAGTTGACTTATTAATTGAAATGTTCTAATAAGGTTGAAAAAGAAACAAAGGAGTATGAACAAGATTAATGTGGTTTTACATGTCTTGTGTCTGTCCAAGTCCTTTTTCAAGAAAATTGTACAGGAACAATGGAAAATGCGTTAAAGCCACAATAATCAATCATTGACATTGCACATGGTTATAGACTTCCAAACCTACTACAACCATAATTTTTGTCCTCCATGACTAGATGCCAAGACTTGTTGCCATGTAAAGTCAAATGTATTTTTCTAATTTCTATGGGCTAAATGTCAAGACTCGGTTGGACCTTTGGTATTTTTTTGACTAATTAAATAGACTTCGGCGTAGGCCCAGGAACTGGATAAGAAAAGGGCCCAGACAAATGTAAGCCCAATTCATGGTATCATGTCCATGATCCACATCATCATTAGGGCTATAGAAGAGCTCAAGCACAAGCAGCACGAGGTCAGGCCTGGCAGTATATGGTTCAAAAGGTCTCGCTATTTTTTTTTTTTTTTTTCAAT